GCACGCAGTGTGACTGTCAAAGGCACAGCACACCAAAGATATATTTGGGAGAAGAAGATATATGACCTCATCTTCTCGGTGATTTGAAAGGTTAACAACCAGAAAGAGCCCTTGTATTATCTCCTCTGCATGGGATCACTGAACAAAAATGGTCAGGGAATAGGTAGGACACTAAGGAACAGGTAGGGACGCTTCACAATGACAGTGCAAAACGGAGTACAGTTACCACTGCAGACGGCGAGCACGCTCACAGACACTCTCAGACGTCACTTCAGAGGGCCGCGGAAAGTGGAACGCGTCCATGGTGCCGCTGGAGGCGGGGATCTGGAAGCAGCCAGGGATAGCTCAGCAGGACGCTAGCGGAACACGCCGGCTTTGCGGGTTTGTCTGTTTAGTGCTGATGCAGAAGCAGCCAAGTAGGAAGTGACACATTGGCGGGATTGACGCGTCGGGTGGGGTGTTTGTCTGTCGGTCTGCACACCATCTGTCACGCCGACAGTTACCCATGAGACCTTTGGCATAGTGCACGGGATTCTGGGAACAGTGTCTGGGACACAGTGTCACACGGGTCAAAGGCATGTGAAATGAGGCTGAAATTATCATAATTCTTCTTTATAAAATACAAATGATTAAATAAATGCAATATCTTTAGTTAAATGCACCGATCTGTTACAGTCTATAATAATAATGCATTTATGTACTACTAAAAAATTCTGACACCTGTAACTCAATCCAGCTTTTTACTCTGTCCTGAAAATATCTTGAACCGAGCAAAGAGGGTATGCTTTTCATCCATCCATCCATCCATCCATCCATCCATCCATCAGGTCACAGGAAAGCGGGGGGAGCTGGAGCCAGCACAGGGCACAAGGATAGGGGTGAGGTGTATTCTATATTTATCTAATCACTGTGTAAAAAAGCATAGTAACGTCTAGGACAGAAGAGTGAAGCCTGTAATGGAATAAATTTCATGCAAGCTGTGAGAAGAATTGGCCTTCTGGGGGGGGTCTGGTGTGCCAGCCTTCTCTCTTGCCCTTCAGATCCCTGAGGACAAAGACGGCATCACACCTGCCACTCAGTTCGCGTGAAACATCAGAGAGGCTGGGCAGGCGAAGGCAAAGCCGCTGTCCTGCATACGCAGTGCGGAGTCCCCGGCTGCTCTGCCTACCCACAATGCAGTGGGAACTCCAGGACAATGACACAGGGTGTGGACAGCAACAGTCACACCCTTTGTTTTATATTTTACAGTTACATTAATTTATTTTAGCATTTTCCAAAGCGACATAAAATCGAGGTAGAGGTACAGTAGATATATGACATTTTACACTGGGTGAGGGGTGTAACCATCAGTGTCAGCGACTCCCACGCGCTGATGTGAATTCTTTACTCATGCACGTTTAATGCACCTTTAGTTGTGCATCATGGGGGTACGACAAAAGTGCTGACCCATGCTCAATAAGGAGTTTGGCCCGTTTTGAGTTCCCTCAGAAAATTGACACGATCGATGCCTAGGAGATTACATCACTGACTTGCTGTATATATTCACAGACTGATCTTCTGTAACCAGCAGTATTACAATATTAAAGCCAAATTTGCTGTTCCACATTTGTGGGGTGGGTGAGGTTAAGGCCAGACTGGTACATTAACATAGTATGAGTGCCTTATGAATTTCTTAAAATGTTTTTTCTCCCTTGTTAAACTATGCTGTTAATGTATCATGAAAACTCAGGAATCTGATCTAACTGAACACTGCCACCACCTGGTGTGGAAAGGGAACAGCAATGAAACACCACCTTACAGAGGCTGATCACCACCAATCAACTGATAAGCTGATATTGTACATGGCATGGAATGACAGATAAAACCTATATGAGCACAAATCAAACCAAAAAGAAGGAAAAGCCTACTAAACAAAAAACTAGCTTTTACTTTGTACCCAGACGGCTGTCAAATGGGTCAGATGTGGATTCTGTCATTATACTGCTGTAACCTCAAGCTTAAGGAGACAGAAAAACGTCTATACATCTAGAGGGTTTGTAATTAATTTATGGAAGAACATGGTAGAGTGAGGACATGTTGCAGATCCTAGGCTTTCATACAGTACAGGCCGTCCCCAGGACACAGACGTGAAGCCGCTCTTTTACTCAAATATGTAGATAAGTCGGAACAGGTACAAAAGGTTCTTATTTAATGTCAGTTAGTCAAATGTTTGTTTTAGTATAAAGCATATATTTATTGTACTGTACTTCAAGCCCACGGACCACTGAACCTCAGAAGGTGGTTGTGGTTGGTTATTACCAACCATAGTATTTAACCTGAATTTTTAATATAGTAGGTTTTATGACAGCCTGTTTGCAAGCAGGAGTCGCCCAGAAGTCGGATGTTTCTATCAAAGGGACTAATGTCAGAGGTGGAGCTTATGGTTTGATATGGACCTTCTCAAGCAGCCTGATTCCTGGTCAGCACAGCTGGCTGCCCCTCACCCCCCCACACCCCCCACCCTTAATACCACCCTTCCGTTGCTTAGGGAAACAAGTCATTGTGACGCCGGCACAACAGCTCACACCTCTCCATGCTCTCCCCCAGGTCCTCTCTCTCATCCTCCACATCCATCACTCTGCATTGATTCTTATCATTCTCATGCCTCAGTGTATGTCAGTTCTCAAGCTTTTCATCCCCTTTCTCCTTCGCCTCCTCCCTGATCTCCCCACATCACCCTGAAGCTGTAATAGCCAAATCTGCACTATTCTACGGAGCATTATTAATGAAAAACCACTTAAGGGAAAGGCGTTTTACAAAGATGTTTTCTTCATCACGTTAGAAGAAGAAGACATCCTCTCATTTTCCGTTCTACAACCAGTATGATTTTTAAAAAAGGACCTTAAAAAGGTTTCATGGCTAGTTTTGTTACATTATAATACATATTTACAGTGTTCCTGTGAACTGGTCAGCACAGCTATGCTTTGGCACTAAGTAAATAAAAATGAACAAGACTTAATATAAAAAGACTAATGTTTCCATTCGTTAAACTAGGAATTATAGTATTTCTGAAGAAGCAGTCTGAAAGACAAGAGGAAGATATATTCCATGTAATGACAGCAGGCAATCAGATACCAAGAAAACAAGTCTGGTATATTGGGTTCCCGAAGGCGCTGACCACAAAGCTCTGTCTGTCTCGGCTGCGCAGCCCCGTTGTATAGTAACTGGAAACTGCACATGCGCACAGGAAAGTCACAGCATCAGAGGGACACAAAGCACCAAGCCTGCAGGAGAACTGTCTCATAAATGAGATCAGTTCTCCTGGGTCAGCAATTCCCTGAATTATTGAAATGATTACGTAATATTCAGTCACCCCGTCCTCTGACATTTGATTTTGTTTACAGGATGTTTCCTTCTAATATTGCTGTAAACCACAGCCCTAACAGCACGTATTGTTGTGAATGAATTCTAGAACTCAAATCGGGTTAAAGCAGAACTCAGTCCAATAACTTAAAGTGGATTTTGACTGTAGGCGGCACAGAAGCTCAGTGTTCGGCACGATGATCTCATGCCTCCATTGGACTGTGTTTAAATCTGACCCTGTCTCTGTGTGTATGGAGTTTCTATAGGCTTTCTACTGCATCCCAAAAACATGTAGCTGGGTGAATTGCTGTCTCAAAATGACCAGCTGTGTGTGCAAGTATGAACACCAATCATAACGTTACATACCAGATCGCTGTACGTGTGTGTATGTTCGTCAGGTATCCGGACCCTGACCTCAACTACAGGATAGACATTCAAGGAACATGGATGCATGTATTTTTAGATATGATAAGGAACATGAGGAAACAATTAGAAAAGTGCTTTCATTTCCACTGAGATCATTTTATTTGATAATTTGGAAAATGTTAAAATCACTACAACGAATCTGCTTTTATTTCCTTTAAGTGTTGAATGACTATGTAGAAACTGTACCATCCAACCTAATGGACAAACATTAAGAAACACCTCATTTCCAGAGAAATACAAGCTTATTTCGTTTTATGCGATTTGAAGCATGTGCTTCATTGAATGAATCCCTCAATGGAGGATTTAACATGTGATGAGTGGCAGCTGAAGAATACCTTCATCCAATAGGCTGTGCTTTCAAATCCCAGCATGTTCTGCTAAATCAGGAGACGTATTTAATGGGAATCACTTTAACAGTGGCCCTGCTGTGCATAACTGCATGTGCACAAGCTATTTTGGGTAAAGTAATGTAACCAATGAGTGTTTTTTTTTTTTTTATTACTTGCACAAGCTGAAAGAGAATGACACAGACAGGGCTGCCGGCAGTCGGCTCAGCACAGCTACGCTTCAGCACTAAGTGAATAAAAATGATCTTGACTTGCACTCCATGGCCAAAAGTATGCGGACACCCCAATTAATCAGAGGAATTTCCTGTTTCATCCACACCCACTGCAGACACACATGTATAATTAAGCACACAGCCAGTCAGTCTCCTGTAACAAACATAATCGGCAGAATGGCTGGTCGTACAGGAGAGATTAGTGACTTTCCACTTGGCACCATCATAGGATGCCGTCTTCCCAACATGTCAGGCCACCGCATTTCTGCCCTGCTAGAGCTGTCCTGCTCAAACAGGGACGCGATCACCCGGTATCAATACCCAACCTGAAAGGGACGCGATCACCCAGCATCAATACCCAACCTGAAAGGGACGCGACCCCAGCATCAATACCCAACCTGAAAGGGACGCGATCACCCGGTATCAATACCCAACCTGAAAGGGACGCGACCACCCAGCATCAATACCCAACCTGAAAGGGACGCGATCCCAGAAGAGCAGTGGAAATGACAGCAACAATGAACTGACCAACTTCATGTTAATACTGTTGGATTTGTAATGAGATGTTGGGAAGCTGGTGTCCACATGCTTTTGGCCATATAGTGCATTTAATAAAGGCTAAAGTTTCTGTTCTTTAGACCGTCAATCATGGTGTTTCTCATGCTGCCCCCAGGTCAGCACCACCACCATCACCACCATCACCAGCAGCCCCCGCTGCCCCCGCTGCCCCCGCTGACCCGGGGGGGATACACGCGATCTCCATCCTGGACCCGCTGCAGCCGAGGGGAGCAGCCCCGAGACAGGAAGCACCACAGTGACTCCGAAAACACGGACCCCTTCCTGAAGATGGAGCGCCCAAAATAGCGCCCCCCCCTTCGCAGGCGGCCAGGAACAGCACTCCCACCCGAGACCAAATGGTGCTACATGAACTGGTTTTGGAAGCTATGCCCCCGCAGCCACGCGAGCGAGACACGCCCACACACGCACCCCTCCTGACACGTTGCACGTTTTATTTACATTCGGAAATCAGGTTAATAAAAGTTCAAGGATCCAGGCCCTCTCAGGATCACCAACCCTGTTTCGAGCATGCCCGGTCACAGAGCATGCTGGGAAATCTACCGTGAGGTGTAAAGCTCTGACTGGGAGAGGGGGGGGGGGGAGGTGTACAGATCTTAGTTTAAGATGGGCCCCCACCCAGAACAGTTAAAGCAAAGGAGGACTTTGGCTTGTTACAGGCCAGACTCCTGCAGGCTGCTGTTCCTGACATATTGCCTTTAAGGAAGACACCATCAGCTGTTCCAAAATGGCCGACGGCTGACCGGACCGAGGGGGTGACAGAGCTCAGGCGTGTGTGCTGATGCACGGGTAAACATGCTTCCAGTGCCAATCCTTCATTCATTATTCATTATGTACACTGCCCGTTTGAGTGAGGAATGGGGGGGTGGGGGGGTGGGTGAAAATGTTTTAGATTACGTAGCATTTCTTAGTGCCGAGTCGAAGCCCTCGTCTTTCATTGATAGATTTCATCAAGTATTTTCTTACAAACATATTGAGTTGCGTCTAGTTCCTGCGAACGTTAAACTTTCAACATAGAATCAACATAGAAATGTGGAACCATAAATGAAAACAGAGCAATACAGAGTGAGTGATGGCGCTAAAGAAGGAACTGATGTTTTTGGTTGTGTGATACTCGACTTAGTTGGATCAGCAGAAGTTATATGTGCATTGCTGGTGAAATAAAATGTTGCAAAATTATAACCCCCTGGTCTATCGATTTGCATTTAATGGTCCTGCTAGTTTACTATTTAAACTGTGATAATGTAATACAGTCTGTGTTTGGTCGTTTCTACATTAAAGCATTTTTAAGAATCTCTTCAAACAGACACACATAGTAGGAAACCCACCTTCCATAGTTCAGGTATACAGGTGGGCCAATGAGGAGTAGTTTGTTATTTAGGGAAATGGGAGGGGCTGCAGTATAACTGAAGTGACGGAAAAGCTAATTGCCCCTCCCCCCACAAAACACACACACACCACTCACACTCCATCGGCACTGAATGGTGCCCTGTGGACAACCTCACCACTAACAGCAGGCTGGAGTCAGCAAGGTCCCATGAAGGGTAGAGGAGCCCAAAGTAGCATCACCATGCTGTTCTCAACACACCTAAAGGACAGACATGCATGGGGTCATGCCCACCTGACCACCTGACCGCCCACCTGACCGCCCGACAGCCCGACAGCCCACCCCCTCTATTTACTGCAACAGCATGGTGCAATAGGACAGAAACTGGGACTCATCTCATACAGACCATGAAGGTGCATAAGTTACTGAGCTAAGAACCAGAAATACGCTGCCTGCACATTTAACCCAGTCATCCATCATCAAGACACTTTCGACCGACTTCAATAAGGGTGAGGAGCCTGCAAGGCTGAGCCCTGTCCCTGGTGGCTTTTATTTCAGGGTGGGGAGGGACAGGCTCGCTGCAGTAACGAACCACCTCGTTTTCATTCAGCGCAGCTGCACCACAGGCAGACAGAGCTCACGGTTCGAGGCGCACCGTCTAGCCGGGAGGTCTTCACCGCACAGGATTCCCGGCACGTTCCTGGCGTGACTCCGCAGACTCCTCCGGAATCCAGGCGAAGCGGAACGCGGCGGTGGGTCACGGCTCGAGGAATCCGCCCTCCCTCCCTCATCTTTCAGAAAGCCCTCCAAATGCACTAATGGCCCATTTCTGCATGGACCCCCCAGCACTGACTGACGGGATACACATTTACATGATAAACCAACTGTAGAATTTTTAAATATTCAAATTAACTGACATCACCAAAGGAAATAAATATTTATAAAAAATATTAAAATTCTGTACAAATTAAAAGAGTGATTACAATATTTTTCATTCACCCATCTTCCAACTTTTAATACAGTACAGGAGGGTGGGGGCTGGAGCCTATCTCAGCGCGGGGTACAAGGCAGGGGTGCACCAACGTGGGACAGGACCCCAACACTGCAAGGATAAGGCAAAATCACTTCCCACCCAGGCTGCCCCAATTACAAGGCCGTGATCCCACTGTGTCGGCCTTAAACACTGAAATAACAGCAGGAAAAGTACATACAGAACACTTACACCAGCCACTGGTTTCTATCCAGTGCGATTGATGCAGCTGGATGTTTAAGTGGAGCAGCTAGCCCCCCCCCCCCCATTTGTGTTACTAGCTCACATCCTTCTTCATATTACAACCTGCAAGCCCCCAGGACACCATGAATTCCTATTCCAATGAAACTAACGGGGCAGTCTGAAAGTCTGTAAGACTCATGCCGGGCGTGTACCCCTCGTCAGGCGCTCCGCCTCTCCCCACACAGACAGGCAGCAGTCATCCACAGTTCCGTGTCACACTCGGCTGATCCGAATCTGTCCAGACTCACCGGGAAGCTGAAGGAAACTGCCAGCCCAACAAACAATGTAGCTTAATGTAAAAGCTAAGCAGTCATACTGAAGACATGATACAAAAACAAAAGGCCTGAGACAGACACTGTGTAAAAGTAAAAGTAGTGTTATCCCTAGACAAGAATGACTGCTGTAGACCAGAACCCCAGCATTCCAGGGAGTGCGACAGACGGAACCCCCTCCAGCTCCCCGACAAGGTGACCCGAGAACCTTCAGTAGTGCATAAGTACCAAAAAACACAGGGGCTTTAAAACTACAAAAAGCAACAGAGAGCCACAGCGGTAAGAGAAAGTTAGAGCCCGATAAGGCACTTCCTGTACCCTTCACACCTCGAGGAAGTGGGAACTGGGGTGGTCTGGGGTTTGGGCTCATAGTCCTCTAAGCACTCAGGGTGAAGCCTGTAATCAATGAGTTAGTGAGTCTGTCTGTAGAGCCGAACCCAGGCCTTCATGTCAAAGGCTCAACACAGCAAGGCGACGTGAACAGGACAGGTAAGACATCACCGCCAATTGAGAAGGTGGGATGCTAGTTTTAGCGTCTGTTGAATTTTATTTTGAAAAGGGAACATCAGTGCTTATAAATGTACTTTGCATTAAATATGTACGTAACTCAGTATCTCCACAAAAGGTTAAACCTTCACGATGCACCAAGACGTGCACCGGGAGAAAACTAGAGATTAAAAGATCCATTTCTGGCACCCCCCGTGAGCCATGTGACGATGACACGGTATGGTCTTCGACAGGGTCACGTCATCCGGGAGTCCGACCCAGGCAGACAGCAGAGGTCAGACATACGGTACGGAGGAGCGACATCTCCAGGGTCAGGAACCTCAGATGCCAGATACCCCAACTTGAAGGTTTCATCACTTTCCTTTATCTAGGGGTTTATTTTAAGTTTGTTAAGCTCAGCAGAACCTTGGGGTAAGTGGAACCATCTGAAAATTGGATTAGCCTCCTTTTAAAAGCCCCCTTTTAAAGTATGTTAAATTCCTGCACGGGTGACAAACCCTTCTGGACAGCTTGGCCATGGCCTCCCGTTGGGAGCGGTTTTGGGGAGGACTACTCCTCTCCGCCTATGTAGCCCGCTTCTCCTGCTCTTTGGGGGAGTCCTCAGCCTCCTGGTTCCAGTTCTTCAGGCCTTCGGGCAGACTGGTGTCCTCCTCAAAGCTGCCTGTGCCCTCCACAAACTCCTCGTAGGAGGACCTCTCCTGGAAAGGCCGTGGACCCAGCAGCTCCAGCATGTCAGCCTTGTCCAGCACCTCCTTCTCCAGGAGTCGCACACCCACCTGTAGGGGAGGAGACCATGAGCAGGGAACTTTTTCTGACACACTCCCATATTTATCTGCACCTCAAAGGGGTCCTTACAGTGCTGGGGAAATTACTCACAAAAGTAAACCACTACAGACAGAGATGGAAAGTTCAGGTCCAGAAAGTACAAATCCAGACCGGGGTTTTGTTTCAACCAACCAGCTTAGTACTCTGTGAATGTCACTCCTTATGCTCAACTGGTTGGTTGAAACAAAACCTTGGTCTGGATTTGTACTTTCTGGACCTGAACTTTCCACATCTGTTGGTAATGGATTACTTTTGTACCAACCCCAACACTGGGTCCTTATTACACACTAGCACACAGACCCCTGTTATAGCTTATGACTACAAGACATTAACAAATATTACATAAACTAATTGAAACATACTAAACAAACACCCATCTAAACCACAAGCAGCTATTGTAGTTACTTATTACCCAAACTGCGATTTTTCTGTTGTCTTTGGTCAATCACAAGTCTCATCTGTCTGGAGTTCTTCATCACAGGGGTGCAACTGGAGGCCTGCCTTCCTCGCGTATGACAGCTCACCTTCTCCACCACGTCCCTCTTGTCCTGGACGAGGCGCAGTGTCCTCTCGTAGGCGCCGCTGATGAGCTCCCGCACCTCTTCGTCGATGAGCTGCGCCGTGGCCTCGCTGTAAGGCTTCTCCATCACCAGCTCGCCCTGCCGCGGCAGGTCGAACGACACCTGGCCTACCTTCTCGCTCATGCCGAACTGCACGATCTGCGGGGCGGAACACATGGATGCACTCGACTGGAGCTGCCAGAACCAGACGCGGAAATGACAACGCAGATCAGGCGCCGTAGCCGCGGCGACCCAGCGAGTCGCCCCAAACCCGCCTCTGGAGCCCAGGGACCTGACACACATACGGCCACAGCCTCCCAGCTGCAGGCCTTAAACTGGTTTCCCGAGATGTTTGCTGGAAATTCAATCCTTGCCCATTTATTTTTATAGGGCAGCCTTTAATGCCCTGTGGCCCAGCAACCCAACATCACAAGTTGATTAAAATCAGAATAAGAACAACAGAAATAACACCAAATGCTACAAAATATTAATCAAAGTCAATTTTGGGGATACAGTAAAAAGAAAAAGCTGGGTTAAAATGCACAGGTGGTTCCATGTGGATCGCTGGTAAACAGGCATAAGACCCACATAGTGCAAACCAGCTAGACGGACAGAAAATTCCAGCATGGAAAAAGTGACTGGGATTGTGGATTTTGTTACAGGTTCTGCATTATTTGGAGACCAAACCAGTTTAGCTGGCGCTCCGGATGTGAGCTGATTGAGATCAGCAGACCTTGGGGCTTCAAGGAGCGGGACGTGCCGCTACCCATCTCTCTGAGCTTCCGACGAGGCGACGAGTTCCACTTTTCACTTTAACATACCGCCGCGAACATGCAGCTCCGCTCTGAATCCGACCTCCTCTTAGTCTCGGGAGAGCGACTCCAAAATGCAAATGAAAATAAAAATAACTACAGTTATTCAGTGAACCGTTCTGAAAGAATTATGGGAGCACACTCGCCGCCGACTGTCATTTGGGGCAGAGGAGGGCCGCTGCGCGTGACACGGGAGATGGCGGTCAGACGGACGGGCCGCGGGCGGTACCTGCGCATAGGCCGACTGCGTGACCTTCCTCAGGTCGTCCTGCGCCCCTGTGGTGACGCGGCCGAAGAAGAGCTGCTCGGCGACGCGGCCCCCCAGCGTCATGCACATGCGGTCGAATAGCTGCTCACGCGTGTACAGGTACTGCTCCTTGGGCAGGTACTGCGCGTAGCCCAGACCCTTCCCACGCGGGATGATGGACACCTACAGCAGAGGAGAACCCATGGCTTGGATCACATGACTCATCTCCATGAACTCACCTGGACACCATCCCGCCTCCACACTATGGAGGCACATTACAGCACCATCAGCCATAACATGACACTCAACAGAAGCTTCTGGCCCAAAGCAACATACAAGTGAAAGGAGAGCAGGGGCAGCCAGAGGCTGCTAGGGTCGCAAAATGCTGGGAATTTTCAAAGTTAGAAGCTTTCCATGGGAATTAACCGGAATATATGGTAATTAAAAGGAATAAACTGAAAATTTGCAAAACTGCAGGTTAGCTTATAACAGGGGACATACATGTAGTTGAAAATAAACCATCTTGAGCATAATCTTGGATAAACCAAGTAGATTTAATGCAAAAGTAGTTCAATTCCAAAGTCAAAAATATCAATTTTAAATTTGTATTACAATTGTTTGCATGCATGTCTGCTTATGACAAAACAAAATGTTTATATTTATGTTTGTATATAATATGGTTTATATAAACAAGCCCGTTTTTGCAAGTAATTCCCAGTAATTCTCATGGAAAGCTTCTGGAAACTCTAGCTGTAGCAATTGGGGGTTAAGGTCCTTGCTCAAGGCCCAACAGTGAAATCAAATCCTATGGCCAGCGAAGTGAACCGGTGACCTTCGTTTCACAAGCACAAGTCCTACTTCGGTTCACAAGTCCTACTTTGCAGACCCCCATTAACCCACGAGCCAGCCTTTAATGAACGGGAAATCCTCATCATTGACCCTAAACTTCCCCTTCCATCCTGATTCTCCACACACCTTCTGCTTGGGGTCCAGGCCTCACTAAACCACCCCTCCCACCCCGATACACACCTTGAGCAGGGGGTCTGCATGCTCCAGGAACCAGCCCACCACAGCGTGGCCGGCCTCGTGGTACGCCACCGTTTTCTTCTCAACGGGCTGCAGGACCTGCGTCTTCTTCTCCAGACCTGGACCGTACAGGAGACATTGCAAGAGAAGACCACAGCCTTGATTAGTATAGTAGAGTTGACACTATTATAACAGGACAACTCATCCATCATGCGCTGGAGGATGTCAGCTCATACGATAAAAATCACAGCCCCCCCACCTATTACTACACAGCAAACAAACAAAAAAAAGCACAAACCGGTTTTGTTTCCCATAACACCATACAAGCAGTAGGGAGATACCTTGCAGCTCAGATATGATTGGTTCATATCCCTGAATGAAAAACTCAAAGCTGAACAACCCGAATTTAACCAGAATATTTGCAGGACTCCAGTTTATCCACCTATACATCAAATATCTTGCAATCTATCCATTTTGCAAAGAGTGGTCACTGAAACAAATCCCCTCGGAGGGACATCAGGCGGCACTGAGCAGCCAACGACATGACACCTGATTACCGTGGTAAAGTGTAGAACAGAAGGTATTATGGGTTTCACTATGACACACATCCAGCACATCTCCAAAAATGGCTGAAGATCAGACATGGGAGCAGACCTGCCGCTGCCTCAGTGCGGGCAGCACTCACCTCCGATGACTCGCTCGACGGCCTGCTCGAAGTGCTTCGCGTTGACGGACGGACTGAGGTGCCTGGCGGCGATCAGAGCCGCCTCGTTGCACACGTTGGCGATGTCGGCACCTGGGGCAAAGACAACAGACAATGGGACGCGGATGATGGCAGAGACGCTGCGGTCAAAGACCAGGATGACAAAGAAACATGCAGCTCAGAAGATAGGAGTGTCATGCTGCAGAAATCAACATACTTTATTCATCCTTATAGGAAAATTGGGTGGTTCTCACAAACCCCATCTTGCTCTCCATTAGACACAGAGACTCATATACAGGTGACAGCAAGTCTGGGAGTCACAGCACAGGGTCAGCCAGTGTGCAGCATCCCATGAGCAATTGGGTTTAAGGCCCATCCTCAACCCAACTATGTAACCCTAACCCCTACCTAGGCCTAACCTTCATCATAAGTAACCAAACGAAATACAAAACTTTTGCCTATTCTAGTTTTTTTTATTGCATTCACAGATTTTTATAAAACTAAGATTTATATTGTGGGGACCTAAAAAATTACCCTACAAGCTAGTAAGTATCAGGTATCACTATATACATAGTTAAACATCAATGAAAGGCACCGCTGGGATTCGAACCCATAACCTCCGGCTTATTAGGCAGGCACTTTAACCAACTAAGCCACAGCACCACCTAAAGGCTCACTACTCACCAGTGAAGCCTGGGCTGAGGGCGGCCAGCTTCCTGGCCAGCCCATCTTTGTCTATACTGGTGTCCACTTTGAGAGGACGCAGGTGAACCTTGAAGATGGAAGCTCTGCCCTTGATGTCAGGTGGACCTGGGAGACATTGGGACACATCACTCCTCTGCAGCACACTCCTAAACTCACAGGAGAGTCTAGCCTAGAACAAATTCCATACAAGTCATCCCATCACTCCCCCTAAATACTGATGTCAGCACAGCAGATTTTTGTACTCCGCCAGCTCTCAGTACCTTCTGGCAGGCCATGAGGACAACAATAGCCACAGGCGTCTCTCACACACATTCGAGGAAGCAATACTGGCAGTCCTCAGACTGCATTATCCTACCAGCGGTGCAGTGAGTAAGAAAGACAACTTTAAAAACCATCACCTATATATATCTGACGGTCGAATCGTCCAGGTCTCATCAAGGCCGGATCCAGGATGTCAGGTCGGTTGGTTCCAGCCAAAACTACTACATTAGTGCTACTGTTAAAACCTGGAATGACACAAAACTATCCTCACTAACATGAAAAATACATTAGGACTGGACTGGTCCTGTTCTCCAGCTTCACTCAATCCCTGTTTTAGAAGTAAAGAGTTTTCAGGAAAGCATCACCACGTGTTTGGAACACTAACGACAAATCTGAAGGAAATTCCTGCAGTGCCAGTGTTACCCACGGCAACCTCCCGCAACCACAAAACATACCATCCATCTCCACCAGGAGCTGGTTCAGGGTGTTCTCCTGCTCGCTTTGCCCCCCAAGGTTGCCCCGCCCCCTCTTCCTGCCAACAGCATCGATCTCATCGATGAACAGGATGCAGGGAGCGTGCTTCCGTGCCATGGCGAACATGTCTCGAACCTTGGTGAACGTAACCAGAGCAGCACGCAAAATAAAATTTTATGCTGCAAGGACACATAAAAATGTTCTAATTAAAATTCTGAAATTAATATTCCGTTAAACTAAAAAGTCAGCAATAAATACAGTTCACATGTTTATTTAATGGTATCCAGAACACTTAAAAATGCAGAAGATTATAAGTGGCTGAGGGATAACATCCTTCATGAATAAATCTCAGGTCAAAATGAGATGAAATGTCTCCCTTCTCAGTGCAGTTCCAGTGCCAGTTCACCAGAGCCCCCCAGAGCCCCCCAGTCACCCACACTCACCCTAGCAGGTCCAACACCGACAAACATCTCCAGGAATTCAGAGCCGTTGACCGTGATGAAGGGAACGTTCGCTTCCCCAGCAGTGGCTTTAGCCAGTAGTGTTTTTCCTGTCCCTGGAGGTCCAGACAGCACCGCCCCCTAATGGACACATGGTATAAGCACACGGTAAATATTCATTTATATTGGTTACAAAAATGTTATTTCATGGCAGGGGAGTTTCTTGGAGGCTTAGCCCAGAGACTTAATCTGCCCGAGGGTTTTCAAACTGAGAGCGTGCTTGTTGAAACATCTAAACTAAACAAATCATTTGGGGCTTTTTCGGATTCATTTGAGGATTCGGTTCCCATAGCCCTAGGTTCCGGATGCATACGTTTTCGTGACAAACGTAACAAATGCATTAAAAATAACTGCAGACTGATTCAGTGTAGAGAGAAAAACACTCCTCTTCTAGGAAATCTCAAAGACAAGCTGAGCTGGGCCACAGAACAAAGGCTACAAATAAAGGCTTCTGCTGATCTCCTCAGCTTCCATTACCTTTGGGATTTTAGCCCCCAGATCCTGGTACTGTTTAGGATTCTTCAGAAAGTTGACAAATTCAAGGATCTCCAGCTTGGCCTCCTCACATCCGGCCACGTCTTTGAACTTCACGTCGATGTTGTCCTTCATCATCTTAGCGGTAGACTCGCTCATGCTGAAAAGCCCGCCCCCCCTGCGCCCACGCCCACCTCCCATTGGCCCCTGCCGTAATGTGAAGAGGAAGAAGCCAATCAGCAGCAAGGTGGGAATCATGCTCATCAAAAAAGACCTATAAAGAGAGAGTAGGAAAGCTGAACATGCTGTTTGCAAGAATTGTGATCATAACACTAGTTCGGCTGGAGTACCTATCAAATAATAAAGCAAAGGGGTTTCTCCTTACATTATCACACAGTACTAAATAAGTAATATATTACTAAACACAAACAAACCCAAAATGCTAAGAAACACAAAAAGCTAAGGCTATATGCTTTCTCAATCATTAGAAATTACTTTCCACCAAACCAGGCCCAGAAAACTCCTCACCCGTCACTCTCTGTACTGTAGACCACAGCCACCCTGTGCGACGGCTCCAGGCCCATCTCCAGTTGAGCCGTCTCCAGGTTCCTTTCAAACGTGTCCACGCTGCCAATGTTGAACCATGCGTAGCTCTGGGCACGACACAAGAAGCAGTGAGAAGTGCAGTCACTGCCAAAAATCACATCGGATGAAGAGTAGGGTTGTAATGGTGAACGCAATCATCACGTGCCGTTCGGTTACATCATTTTCACTTCGATACGCGCAATGAAACGAAGGATCGACGTGGGTGGAACCTAAGTTCACAAGTAGATGTTCCACATGGAAAACATTGTGCTAATTATTGCTGTGAATTAGTTATGGCTAAAGCTGGTTACATTTTGGTTTCCCAATAAATTAAACCAGGACTGGAGAGAGAGCAGTTGCAGTTGCTAAGACCAACTCCGTCTGTCAGTTCTGTCACACTGAACTCGGACATGTTGCTGGAAATGCATCCAACATGCTCACTCATTTGAATCGGTATCACCCGAGATTGTGTACGACTGCAATGCAGAAACAGCCTCTGCAAATTAGTTTCCCGTGACATTTAAGGGGTGTTAATCGCTACAGATAAGTGGCCATGTTCAGTTTGGGAGAACACAAGATTTAATGATGCGGTCATAGCTGTTCCTATATAACTCTGTTTTTGTTTGTAGTTTTAACGAGATAATTTCAAAACAAATTTTGTTTTCCTTGCTTTACCAAAATTTCACCAACCCATGAAATGTATGTACTGTAATACCCCTAATGAAGATATGAATGAATGCACCTTTTAAAAACAGTGCAAACAAACAGCACCCGAACACAGCTTTCAGAAGGGGAAGCGGGGAAGCAGGTAAGCGGGGAAGCGGGGAAGCAGGGAAGCGGGGAAGCAGGGAAGCGGGGAAGCCGGTACCTACTGCTTCAGAGGCATTTCGTCCTGAGGCCGGAATCACTCGCACATATTGCTTATTGACAACTTCCAGTCGGTCAACCTGCACAAAATTAGCATTCATCTCAAAATATTCTACTGTAATTTAATTAAACCTAGATATTTATGAAAAACATTTGTTCAAAGAAATTACACACATTAAAATAATCCATCTTAATATACTGCCTAAATATTAACACAGTGTTCATTAATGAATATTCCAGTTGGGCTCTCACCAATCCTCTGGCTAAGTAGAAATGTACAAATTCCTTCCAGGAGATCTCTTTCCCCGCGTCTCTGAAGTAGAAATACAGAAAAGTGGAGGATATCCCTGCCACTGCGATAGCCATGTAGCGGAAATCCTTCTCATCCCAGGGAAAGTCTCCCTTCAAAAAAAACACAGAGATGTTAATAGGGTTGCAAAATTCTAGGAATATTCTTGTTAATTCCCATACTTTCCCGTTAATTCCCATGGAAAGTTTCTAATGTGGAATATTTCCAAAATTCCCCAGCTTAACTTCCCATGGAACGGAAAGTTTCAGGAAAATTTCCAGAAATTTTCCAGCCCTTTGCAACCCTAGATGTTAATCCCACGAGCAACCAGTCTAATCCAAGTCAAAAGCATAACACCTTGTCTACAGCCATCTAGAACTTGCCCAGTATAATTACACCAGTCACGTTCCCACCAGTGAACAGTTCTGTACCTATTCCGAATTCCAAGATCTAAATAGGCTTGTACGCAAAATGTATTTCCACTTGTAGATGAAGCAATAATTTAATTTATGTAAAATTAAAAAAAGATTATGTAAAAAAGAAGCAGTCACATAGATACAAACCTTCTGAAAACGAGACCATTTATTGTCTTCCCTTCGCCCTCCTCTGTTGCCTTCTCCACCTGCCCCCTCTCCATTACCCCCACCTTCTGCTTCCTTGGACTTCACATCTATCAGACATTGCCAAGATACCACCATTAATACTTGCACACCATTCATGTATCCTACAAATAAACCACCATGACTGGGTGGCAGGATGGCCCAGTGAGTAGCAATGCTACCTCACACCACAAGAGTTGGGGGCTTGAATCCCTCCTCTGCTATGTTCTCCTTGTGTTATTCCAGTTTCCTCCCACAATCCAGGAACATACAGATATTCTCACAGGTGTCTTTCAACTGCTCATAGGAGTATGACTGCATGTGTATGTGCCCTGCAATGGATAGTGCTCAGCCAGAGTATGGCATCCAGGCAACCCTGACCAAGATAGGCAGTTAAAGGACAAATCTCCCATAACTACTGAAGACCTCCATTAAGCTAAATTAGAACCTAATTAAGGAGATTAAAGCACATACCGTGCTTTGGTGAAAGGCTTTAGACCAACACACAATTACTTCACCGTGCTTGCGAAGGTATTACCTTTAGGTGACTTGTTAGAGCAGAACACTCGTGACGCAAAAGGACCTCCAGAGGTTCCCCAGATATGTCTTCTATTTTGAGCAAGGTTCTGGTGGAAGAAACGTTACCTTGATGGCACGTGCAGCACTGACAGATTACCAGCGACATATAAATGTATGAGGAAAATGCGGAGGCTTAGTTATTAAATCAGATTAGAGCACAACAATATTCTGTTCTGTCTATAAATCAAACAACGATTAATATATAACATATTAAACTGAATTAATAAGAGAAAACACAGTTCTTTCACCATTGCAGAACTGTCAGCTAATCGCGACAGTAATGTTTTCATATCAAGTTAACTAGATGGTCCATGTACACCGCAATGTAAAGTAACTTTACTCTGAGAGCAGCGGGCAGTGTCCCGGCCGTCACCGCGGTGTTGCTCGCTCTCCACATCCTCATTCCGCATCTGAACGGCCGGGCAGCCGCTAAAATAAGCCCTATCATCCTAACCATAACCGCTCTTCTGCCGGCGGAATAACTTCTCTTCTACAACCCGCTTTTGCATCAGACGAACATGCTCAATGTCATTTTTTGTTTAAAAGGTGTACGAACTGTTTAGCACCGCGCCTGATTAGAAACTTCAAAAATATAATTCAAAGTTTAATGATACTTTAACTTTTCCCATAGTCTGACTTCAATTTTTTATTGCTTACAGATAACGTGAATGTTTGTTTAAGGTTGGCAAGGGTTTGTAACAACTATTTGAATGCACACATCTTTTTACTCAGGCAAAATACAGGGCATGCCCTGCCTCTGCGAGGTCCAGGTCCTGTTGCTTTATGTTGCAAATACGTTGCCAAGGAATACCGTAAATATGTATATATACACCCCATTTTCATTCTATGCCGCTTATTGCTAGGTATAGCTAATTTAGCATTGGTGAACGTATTTGAACTACGTGATGGATAGTGTTGTAATTTAATCTTCTAGTATAACAGTAATGTGCGTGCGATTTCAAATATGTATATATAATTGTACTAAAGCCAGTGTATTTTTGGTTATATTGGTGTCCAGGCGTGGAACTAAAGAATTTTTGCTACTAGCTAACTGGGCAAATTCAGTGAAAATATAGTCTGACATGCATTTCTTACTAACCAGCAGACTAATGTGCAGTATTTTGTACTCGCCTTCCGTCTAAGGTACTCGCTTCAGGGGAGTAACCGATCTTAATTTCCCATCCCGCTTGTGTTATTGTATTCGATAAATATCTCTGAACATTTTGTGGGCGTTGACTTAAAAGGACTACAGTGTCATATCAAGAACTGTGTACATCGTATGCTTGCAAAACCGTAATTTGTGGTACATAGCCATTTCAGTCCTAACGATATCATCATAGAGTTCAAATCCCACCTCTGTTTCACTTGTGTGGAGTTCCTATGTTCTTCGTGTGTTGTGCAAGTTGCTTACTAACGGATATCTCTAAATCAGCCTAAGTATGTGCATGTTTTGCCCTGCGATGAACTGATATGATCCCTTCCTGGGACAGGTTCCAAGCCCTTCTATGATCCTGAAATGTTTGGAAGATGGGTATGCCTAATTTAATGAAAATTAGGTCCAAAAAGTAACCGTTGGAAAGGAAGATTAATTAATTGCATTTACAGGTAACTGCATTTTGATATGCCGGCCTATCGAGAAATTGCCCGGTATGGCAAATGGCGAGTCCAGCACTGGTTATCTACCTTGCTCTGAATTACATCTATTTTTGCCATCTAAAATAACTGCAACACAGTGCAACAGAAGCTGAATTTATGCAATCACTTTTACACATTTAAATATAACATATTATTAGAATTTTATTCATGCATAATATTTACATACATTAATAAATTAACTGTACATATTTACTGCAGAATGTTTCAATTACCGAAAACACCAACAGACCTGTAAGACTGATCCTTTTAAAATATGTAGGTTTATCATTTCAAAAGGAGGCTGAAACAACTCAGCAAATATGTAAAATCATTAAGTAATATTTGATACAATGTCTCTTACTGTTGCCGGGTTTATAAAAAATGGACTTATGCATCATGTGAAGACATAAATAAGCTGCGATTTTACCCCATTGAATGTGCTTTACTTCCACGAAGCATGCAGGCTCACAATAAAGGTTCAAATCACGATTGTTAATATTGATAATGTACACTTTAAGACGCATAGACACACATACCACATTCATAATGAGACCTCTTAGCAGAATGAGGGATTGTAAACTTCGGTTACAGTCAGGAATCTTTTCACTGGAGGCTGCTGTATATTCCTTTTTATATACTGCTTTAATATTTTTAACTTCCTCACTAATGTGAATCATCACACTTGTACACCACGAGAGCACAACGCATCTGCACAGCTCTAATCCCAGGCATTACGTGGTACGGCACAAAACTTTGTATGTCGCTAACTAGTTATAACTGGTTGGCGTTGCACCCCACAGAGACCAATACTTCAGAAAACAAAACAGTAATGTAATTACCTTTAGACAAAACACAGTGTTAATTCCTGCTATTTTAGTGTTATGAAATGGCTTCAGAATATGGGCTATATGTTACCAGCTGAACAGAACATAATATTTAATTGTTACTGTACAACAGTTTAATTAGGATGCAAGTATTTGACTTTGCAGTAAACAATAACCACAGTTATAACCCCAGCACAGATAAAAGCTGTACGTATACAATCAGAACAGCAACACAACATGCACAGAGCAGAGTGTCTAATGTGGCCCTGTTCACAGTGTGTTTGCTACGCAAATGGGGACACTTGTTTAGTGCTTAACAGCTTCCCTCTTCCATCCTGTGCTGCTGTCAGATGCTGCGCATGGAGCGCAACACCGCTGTAAACACCCGCGCCGACCAACCAAGGAATGGAAAGACATGGATGAAAACTGGGCTCATGCTATTTGTGGCATACCAATCTCAAAAGGCACCTTACACCGGCCACCAGTGGAATCCAATGCCCTTCGCTGTCTGACAGTCAGACTCGGGTTTAAGAGCCGACGTCCTGCTCGTCCGGCAGGTCTTGTTTGCGCTCCGTCATTCTAGTGCATCGTGGGCATGTAGTGGAGTTGTCATAGTAACAATCCCTACAAGACAAACAAACACAGATACAGTTACCATTCATGAACACTCTTCTGATAATTGTCATGTGCCCATTAAACTGCAATAACCCTTTGAAAGTAAAATGTTTTAACGTATTTCACAGTGACGAACTGTTAAACAGCCAATAAGATTACACTCGCTAAAGTTTTAGCAGTAGGCAAAGATGGGTAAGAACATGGTGGCCAGGCTGAGAGAAAGGGTGGGGCAGGGGTCCCTGACCTGTGGAATACCGCAGAGCAGTCGTGGCACACCGACGTGTGGCTGTCGAAAGGAAAGAGCACATCTCCCTCCTTGCAAAGCTCACACACGAAACCCTTGGCCTGGCATCTCTGCGAGAGGGAATAGGACAGAGAAAAATGACTGAAACCCTGCACTGTGACTGAGCAGGGCGGTGTAGTGTAGAATGCTGCCCTTCACCCTCCCCCAAAATAAGCACAGCCCCCACCTCGCAGTCCAGTTTGATGTGCTTAGCGAAGGTGGTGTGGATCTCAGTGAGGGAGCAGCTTAGCCGGCCGCTGGAGATGTCGATGAGGTCCTGCAGGGAGTACATGTCGTCGTTCTCCACAAAGTGCTGCCGGTCTTGAAGCTACGGTGGGAAAAGGGACGAGGTGAGCACACAGCACTGATATGGCAAAGCTGTGTACACATCCTTATGTGAATGGCATTACTGGAATCAGGGTGATGTGCAGCTGGGAGGACCGGGAAGAAGCTCCGGAGGAAAAGGACCACATCCTCAGATACACCAGAGTTTAAAAGGTGTTCGAATAGACAGCGACAGGCCTGAATCATCTTTTTCACTTCAGCATGACTCTCTCGATTATGTTAAATTCATTGTCTGTTAAATAAATATATCAGTATAAATAATAATCTTTTCATATGATTAAAAAAAACATTTTTGTAATTGTTCTGATGGCCAGCAGGGGGTGAATTGTAGAACTAGAACAGGGGTCACCAACCTTTTTAAAACTGAGCTACTTCACAGGTACTGAGCCATACGAACGGCTACCAGTTTGAAACTCCCTCCTAAACTTATCTAAACTTCATGTATAATAAACATGTTTTAAAGGTTTTCTTTTTTAGATATTATTTTCAAATCTATATAAATGCAAATGTGATTAAAGAAGAATAGCAACAGGATAAAATTAAATTTTAGTCATTGCTCACTGGTGAGTTGTGCTATTTTTAGAACAGGTCCGTGGGCGACTCATGTGGTCCTTGGGGGTGTCCTGGTGCCCGCGGGCACCATGCTGGTGACCCCTGAACTAGACAATGATTGATAGAGGTTCGTCTGAGCTGTTTTGCCTCTAGGCAAAGTACCTACTACAGGTATACATTTTTATAAATATCCAATCATATGAAAGAGGTCATTATAAAAGCCCTTGATAAGGTGGATTTTGAAACATTTGTTTGCTGAATCATCACATGACTTTTTAAATGAATTCCTGTAACAGAAACACCAGCAGGTGGCGCTCACTCTAGTCAATTTTCAAAAGTAAAAAACAATGACTTTCAGCAGTCCTTGGATTTTGCTTTTCTTTTACAAAATGGTTGCTGGCAAAAGGAATGGCCCCAGATAATGCTTACTGGGAGCAGTGGGGAGCAGTGGGGACAGCAGGACAAGGTCAGTCACACCGTTAACACACAGGTATCACACAGGTATCAGACAGGTATCAGACAGGTATCAGACAGGTATCAGGCAGGTATCAGGCAGGTATCAGGCAGGTATCACACAGGTATCACACAGGTATCAGACAGGTATCAGGCAGGTATCAGGCAGGTATCAGACAGGTATCAGACAGGTATCACACAGGTATCAGACAGTACTGACCTGCAGTAGCAGTCTGGCCTCCATGGCCTCCTTGCATGTGATAAAATAGGGCTTCATCAACAGGATGTCCTGCCGTAGTTTCTGTGGGGGACCAGACAGAGTTCCATCAGCAAAGGACTGACAACTGCAGCCAAAATGGCTCCTCCAGGGTCTCATTGAAGCCCATCTACAAATTCCAGACTAGTGCTACTTGGAACCAGTGGGAAATAGAATACCGATTAGTAGGCTGGCCATTGTAGATCTCAGCTCATTGCAGTCATTCATAAATAATACCCAGTATGTAGTAAAACTGTGTTAAAGCTGAAATTGTATTTTTAAAACAGTAAACTATGTAGAGGTGAAACAGTATTAAAATTTAATATCACAATTATAGTGACCAAAATGATCAATGATTATCAGTATCCTCACGGTACTGTTAAAATGTGCTGAAAATGTTCAAAAAGTACATTTGGTTGATGCAGCACAGTACTTAATGTGAGTTTTTAAAAAAGCAGTAGTCAACCATGGTTTTAATATTTCAAATGTGAAACTGTTGGAAATTATACCGTGGTTTACCATGAAACTGGTTAGCCTTTCACCGCAAAAACTGTGTGGCAATGTCTGCAGGACCTACCCTGATCTCCACTAGTTCCTCCACAAAGTTGAAGAGCAGGGGGTTTATTTCACGTAGCTTCAGGACTGGCCTGGAGATCATGAGGGTTAGGTAGCGCATTGATGAGCGGCACACCTGCATGACAGAAGACAGTCAGGTAACTGTGCAGCTAGTCTGAGCATGTGCACGGCATTACAGTTACTCAGTACTGCGTATATACACATCATCACAGCCAAGCTGCAGTAAACAAAACTCACTGCAGCGAGACTGCCGATCCAGTTTTATAGTGTATACCTGCATCATACCAGCAATCTGACCACAATGCTCCTAAATATATTGCATGAGTCAATCAGAAAGTACTGGTCCTACAAGCATCATAAGAGCACATGCCAGCAACAGAACCACAATCATTAATGAAGCCCTGTGTGGTTGCATGTCGTCACCCTGACAGAGTGAACAGCAGGATGAAACAAGCTCAGGATAGATGGTCTGCCCACCTTGCGTGGCTCAAACTCCCAGTTGTGGATGACACGCGCAGGGATGATGCCTGTGTCATTCCAGTGACAGCTGCTGCAGTAGTACTGACCCGTATAGTCACACTGTCGAGCCTCACTGGGTACGCCCCCTTCAGGCCAAAACAAGTACAATTTCTGTAACACCATACGTCTTCACTGAGGAGACACTTAAGAACCCAAATAAAATTATCCCTGTACTTCCTTTATTTCAAGCAATGAATGCAGAATTCTGGCAACGATTAGGGCAAGCAGAGCAGTTTATTGTCTTTTCACCTCAGGGATCCCTAAAATTCAGTCATTTAGCTTGTGGGGGTAATCAGGGGGAGATGGGAGGGCAGACGTGGGAGGAGCTTGTGGGGGTAATCAGGGGGAGATGGGAGGGCAGACGTGGGTGGAGCTTGTGGGGGTAATCAGGGGAAGATGGGAGGGCAGACGTGGGAGGAGCTTGTGGGGGTAATCAGGGGAAGATGGGAGGGCAGACGTGGGTGGAGCTTGTGGGGGTAATCAGGGGGAGATGGGAGGGCAGACGTGGGTGGAGCTTGTGGGGTCTAATCAGGAGGAGATGGGAGGGCAGATGTGGGTGGAGCTTCTTGGGGTAATCAGGGGGATATGGGAATGCAGACGTGGGTGGAGCTTGTGGGGTCTAATCAGGGGGAGATGGGAGGACAGACGTGGGTGGAGCTTCTGGGGGTAATCAGGGGGATATGGGAAGGCAGACGTGGGTGGAGCTTCTGGGGGTAATCAGGGGGATATGGGAGGGCAGCAGTCTGAAACCAAGGGGAGGGTGGGGCTGCCGTAACGATGCACTCACTCAGTGACACAGGCGTCCGACACTCCGCACACCTGTAATCCTGTTTGTCCAGCCCCGTCTCAGGGCAGATGTTCAGCTCATACTCAGACTGATGGCTGACCTTGGACCTCACACACGGCTTAGTGATGAGGTTCATGCACTTGCTATGGCAACGGTAGTAACAGCCTTGAAAAAACAAGTAAAACATGCATAAGAGATTCACTAACTTAAATACGATGTTCAAATGAGCTCAAATATGAGTATGAGACAATTCCTGGGTGTATGAAATGCTCACAGATGAATGTCTTAATAAACAGATTAATTTTTATTATTCCTTTTATAGTAGATTCAGACACAGCCCACTAAAAGTTAATGAGGAAAAAAATAGATGCCATAGTTGCTCAGCAACAGCTGGTTTTGTTCGAGATGGTACAGATCGGCCAATAAAATGAGACCTCAAACGTGGTTCCTGTTGCTTGGGAACCCTTCCTGACATACCTATTTCTGACTTTCCTGACATTCGGTCCCACCCAATGATGGCCAGAAGCCAGAAGACCTCACTGCATGTGCAAGGTGCACAACGCAGAGTCAAAGCACGACTCTAATACGAGAAATGCTATTTTCTGGTCTTTCTGGTCTGGCTGAGCACATAAGCACACACTGAAAACGGTTGTTTGGCAAATTAAACAAATTCAGCCTTCAATCCCAAAACTAATGTTCTCAGGATTAAGGAGATTTGTAACACACGTTAATGTATAGCGATTCGGTTTACATTTTTCTCTACGACAGGTCTTTAGTTTTAATATAGGATTTCGAATAACATACCGATTTCCTCAAAATAACCTTCTGCAACCAAAGAATGCACTTAAAAAAACACACTACACACACTGACTTTGACATGGTTTCAGCCAAACATTTCCTTGGCACAACAGTTTCCAGCCATAGAATACCGTATGGGACCCATGTGACACACAGGTCCAGTATCCATGCATGCAGAGTTCTGGATCAACAGGTTTATCATAAGCATGCGGTCTTGCTTTGTGTCGACACGCATCATTGTACCTCCCTTCCTTTTAGCCTTTGTTTTGACCGAGAAGTGATTTTTATGTCTTTCTTTTGTACCTATGGTTATCTGAAATTATTTTTGTTAAAATTAATCTTACATGCTTTTTCTTTTCCTTTTTTTATAGGATATTTTTGAAGGGTTTTGTTTTGGGATGGAAAAACATTATATTTTTTTCCCATTTAAAATAATGGAAATAGGTTTTCAATCTATGTTTTTTTTTCCAATTTCCTGTGGTTTTTCAGGAACAAATTATTAACGTAAATTGAGAGAAAGCCGTGCTGTTAACCACAGCTGGAAAAAATCTGCTTTGCTTTACTGGGCTAAAATGCTGGAAAATACTCTTTAGCATGCGAATATAAGAGGCCTCCGTTAAAAGTGACCCAAGACCCACACACCTGTACAGGTATACCAGGTCTGAATGAGGCCCCAGATAATGGCACTGCACTTGTCACAGGTCTGCTTTACACTCTTGCTCTTCTCCTTGGAGAAACGGTGTTCCAGCAGAATTCTGAGGTTGGGTTCATCCTCCTCAGGGTCCTGCAGGGTGACAAATACCACCAGCACTCAACACACAGAGCTGGTTCTCTGAAGCGTCCCTCTCCAAGAATGCATCACCTACAGCCTCACTGCTACGCTCGGCGCCGGCTTCCTTAACCTCACTGCTACGCTCGGCCCCGGTTTCCTTAACCTCACTGCTACGCTCGGCGCCGGCTTCCTTAACCTCACTGCTACGCTCGGCGCCGGCTTCCTTAACCTCACTGCTACGCTCGGCCCCGGTTTCCTTAACCTCACTGCTACGCTCGGCGCCGGCTTCCTTAACCTAACTGCTACGCTCGGCGCCGGCTTCCTTAACCTCACTGCTACGCTCGGCCCCGGTTTCCTTAACCTCACTGCTACGCTCGGCGCCAGCTTCCTTAACCTCACTGCCATGGACGTATCAGTGCATTCGCTCACTTTCCTGCTTCCCATCGATGGAGTTGATCTGAAATTATGCAAGTTCTTACAGAATCCAGTGCTGTTTGACTAATACCACAATGCATGTTGCAATCAATGCACGAGTTTGTCACACTCCACTGAATCGGCCCAGTCTGACATGTGGTGTCAGTTTTGGGGGGGGGGTTGGGGGAAGTGAATCCAGCTTAGCATCTTAAATGGGGATGACAAGTCCTTTACTGACAAAAAAGGAAAGAGGAAATTGTAAAGCGGAAGCTTTGATGGTTCTAATGATGTTTTGGGTTTAGCGAGTATGACTCTATTCACAGATCCAAAGCTTTAGGTCCATTTAGGTCCATTTGCCATTTGCACAAGTATGAGTACAGGTACACTGGAACTCTTCTCTTCCCCTGCTCCATCTTGCTCTCCAATTTGGGGGAGGGGGAGCAGGGTCAGCCAACATGCAGCTCTCCTGGAATTGGGGGTTAAGGGCCTCGCTCAGGGGCCCACAGACATGTGGTCCAGGGTAAGTTGTGATATACTGGCTTTGGTGTCTGGTTGTGTATTTCACGGTGTGCGCTGTGCCAGCATGCCACCCAAGCCCGACTCCCACCCTACATCCTCTGCTTCCACAGAACGCCTGCCCCACGAAAACCGTGCAGGGTGCACAGATGGGCCACAGCAGGCTTTACCTTCAGCTCTTGCAGCTTGAGGCGAAGGTGGATGAGTTTAACCACTGTGTCCTTCTGCTTTTCTGAGTGCTCGGGCAGCTCCAGAATCAGCCGCTTACACTCTTCGATCGCCTGCTTCAGCTGCTCGATATCGGACGCCACAAAAGAGTCCTGCGTCACACCCAACACACACCATCGGGGTCACAACACTGACCGGGAGCAGGGACTTTCCACTTCACCCAAAAAACTCAAATGAACTTACTGGATTTCCATTTGGCTATAACATACAACAGAGATCTGCTTCAAGTCTCTGATCTATGGAACATTCCAGGAGAGAACCATCTCCTGCACGGTACAGCCAAAAGTATGTGGATACCACTTTATCCAACATCTCATTCCGAAGGGTATTAATGTGAAGTTAGTCCACCCTTTGGTGCTACAATAACTTCTACTCTTATGTAAAGGCCTTACATTAGATATTGGAACATTTCTGGTGGGATCTGTTGCCATTTATGTTGGATACCGATGTCGGGTGATCAAGTCTCTCGGGCGATTCTGTGTGGCCACTGAACGTTCTCCCAGCTGTTTCCATTTCACGAACAATTCACATGTGGTTGACCAGAGTAGCTCTAGCAGGACAGAAAGCTGGCAAACTGACTTGGAAAGATGGCATCTTATGGTGGCTGCCATTCCATTATAAACCTAAAATTAGCTACATCAAAAGCATTGAGGCAGTTTGTAAACCCTACAGACAATATTTATAAAGTAATAAAATTGTTACATACAGTACATGTAAATACATGTGCATGTGTGTGCAGACTTGTCTTTTAATTTAAAAAATTTCCAAAAAAACCTTTTGTGTACTGTATGTATTTCAGTGTAAAAACTGACTTATTACTCTAAGCCAGGAGTATTCAACTAAAATTTAAAGAGGTCCAAATTTCTCGAACCAAAGGTCCGGAAGATCATAATGTCTAACTATTTAGTGTGATATATATTTAAGTAGCCTTATAGATCGGACAGATCGGCCACTCTGTTAGGAACATTACGGCTTTTTGGTTGCAGGTGTTAGCTTCGCTGCTGTTATTATTCAGCCACTCTGTTAGGAACATTACGGCTTTTTGGTTGCGGGTGTTCGCTTCGCTGCTGTTATTAAGCAGCCACTCTGTTAGGATCATTACGGCTTTTCGGTTGCGGGTGTTAGCTTCGCTGCTGTTATTAACACTAATGACACATTAGCACAGACAAAGGGCTGCTTACGCCGAACTACGTCTTGCTTGGCGGTCAAAGGCGTTTGACGTTTGGCGTGGGAAGCGGCGGTTCTAATGTTAAACCACTACCGAAAAGACTACAAAAGGTGCGCCGGTTAAAGTAGAAGCGCCCCGTCAGGTTTTAAATAACTTTCTGTTTTGGCTATCGGTCCGGGTCCGTATGGGACAGCTTCTGGGTCCGGACCGCGGTCCGCCTGTTAGTGACCTCTGCTCTAAGCCCTTCTCTGTTTTAATAACCAAAAGCAGCACCATAAAAAGCTCTTTTTAAGCTTCCCAAAGAACTTTAGAGGAACTGTGTACCTGTAAAGGTTAAAAAAGTAACCGCTAATAAGATAACAATCTAAATAGTATATTTTTTTGCCACCCGTGGGGTAGAAAGGATACTACATCTCTAAGAGAAAACTTTATGTACAATTCACATGCCAAATTTAATTAAAATCAAAAATGGCAAAGGCCAGTTGTTGAATTAAATTGGAATGATCCGACTGTCCTCTCAAAATTGAAATTAATTAAAAGCAAATCGACACAACATCTGTAATATTTATGATGATTGTGACTGAGTGTAATGTTCAGATACACAATTCTGGTGTATTCATTAAATTCCAATAAACTGCTTAGCAGATGACATCAGTGGCTCTAACTTGGTGAAGGCACTCATGACTGAACTTCACTGCAGGCAGAGCGGACCATCAGAAACGCTTACGACAGGCCGGGAGAAGTGGTCCTCAGCCAGACCCAGGTCCATGGTCCGGTCCGAGCTTTGGCTCTTCGCCTCGGAGGAAAACAGGCCTGGCTTCACCTCTGCAGGCATGATGGTCAGTGAGAAGCAACGGAATGGACCAGAAACAGGATAATTAGCAGAGTCATCACAACAAATGATATCAAAATATATTAAAATACTCAATATTACAGACATACAGGACAGTGCAATTCAGTACTGTGTATATGGCTTAGGCATCACAGATAATGTTTAAAGCTATTTACCTGGGTATTCAGTACACACACACACATCATTTAAACAACTTTCTTTGGCAGCCTAAAACTTTAGCGCCATACTGAATAAACAAATGAGTATTTTTCAGGGACACTTTAGCCAACTGAACTGACAGTGTATTATTTAGGTCCAATATATTCAGCTACCCTACTAAACTAGAACACTGCTCTGACATGCAGCAACAAAAATGTAAGAAGGTAAGATTTTAATTAGAAGCACGTCTCAAGCATTAAATACATGACTGTTTGTCTTCCTCATCTACAAATAAAAGAGTAAAAATAAGAATGCGTTTGGTAGAAAACTGAAAATTGAATGTCAAGATTATTAAACAATTACATAATTTAGCAGCATATTACAACTCCATGATATGACATATATTCAATAAGGAAAAAGAAAGAAAACGCCAGTGAGAATTAAACGAAAGGCAAAACTGCACTTGGATTAAACTTCCAAAGGAACCAGACAGAAGAAGAACACATCCCTAAGACAAGAGACAGGTGATCTCGTCTGTATCCCACATGAAAAATATAAAGAAAATACCTGCGTAAATCTCACAATACAGCATGGCTGACCTCGGGAGGGGCGATATGGGACAATCAGATGGTAACATTAAGTAAGAAGCTCAGGAACATGCTGTGTTGCAGTTTATAAAACACTGAATGCTTATACAACTGAGCACAGCTCCACGAATAGGGACGGACTTACCGCCTACATTTAGAAGCAACCTTTGACTAGGGAGAAAAAATGAGGAAGCAGTCTTTCTTTCCAATTTCACTTCACATTCATACAACCTGCCATGGTGAGCACATCATGGACACTTAGACCATGTTGATGGTCTACACCAGAGGTGGGGAACCTGATCCATGGAGGGCCGGTGCAGGTTTTTGGGATGGCCTCTCAGTCAGCCAATAATAAAACAGTGGTTCTCAACGCCAGTCCTGGGGACCCACTGTTATTGGCTGATTGAGAGGTCATCCCAAAAACCCACACCGGCCCTCCATGGATCAGCTTCCCCAACCCTGGTCTACACAAATACAGACCAGGTTCTAGTCCCGTTCTCATACATTTACAGGTTGGGTCTTGAGATGCCACTCACCAGGTAGAGGAGGATCCTTATCCTCTCTGGCACCACCCTCCTCTCCTCTGTCGAAGGGGTTGAGGTGGCCTTGGCGAAAGCGGGCAAGCCTCTCATCATACTCCATCTCTTCAGCTACATCTGCAGAGAGCAGACATTGATCGCCCACCCCTATGCATCTCCAACTCTCACGTCCCACCTGGCGTTACACTCACGCTTTGTGACTCTTCCAGCAAATCTATAGTATTCCATTACAAACATAAAATTAGTTACATCAAAAGCGTCGGGGCAGTTTGCAAACCCAACGAAACTGTTACATGCATGGAAATAAGTGTGCATGTGTGTGCAGACTCGTCTCGAACTGAAATCTCCAGCCAGAAGACCGGAGTTGGCAACTCTGCCCTTCACACAGCTACGTTATTTTGTTTATACAATATGGGCTTTTAGGAAAATAAAGAGTGACACACTGGTTAAAAAGCACTAAAACTGACTGACGAAGTACTGGGCGATGGGCGATGGTTTGTGGTTTATGTGCTTAAAGAAACACGGAGCAGATCGCAGGACGTAAACAAACAGCGCAAAGGCGCCATTGCTGTGTACGGAGGGACGGGACAGACCGGGGCCCGGCGGGGGGGATGCTTAAAAACAACGTGACACATGATCTAAAAGACAGAAGTCATTGGGAAAAGCTGTAGTGGACGGATGAGGGCAGCTGTCTGTGGATGTAAACAAGGGACGAAACCCGACCGTCCTGCATTAACTAAAGAAATGCAACCGAACACTTTCACCCTTAACCCGCTGTTCCTTTATTATAATGTATTTCTCTCTCACCTGAATGCACTTCTAGCTGGTTCATGCATAAAATTACAATACAGTGTTAAGCTTGAAAAGGACTGCTAGATAATATAAGTCAAATAAACTGCAGAAAAGGACATCGGCACTTTCAGTGGTAAACATATCGGATTTGCTAGTTTATTCGCGGACTCCTTTGGGGGCTGACTAACAGTTAGGCAGCTAGTTATGTGAATGCACTGACTCCTTTGGGGGCTGACTAACAGTTAGGCAGCTAGTTATGTGAATGCACGGACTCCTTTGGGGGCTGACTAACAGATAGGCAGCTAGTTATGCGAATGCGCGCGGTAGTTACGGCGTGTCACTGTTCTCGCGAAGGCAGCAGTGAATGTTAGCCGCTATTGCCAGCGGCCCCGGTGACGACAGCAGCGCCAGGTACGGCCGCTACACTTACCCCATTAGTGTTTCGCCGTACAGCCAAAACTGGAAGACATTTGTACTTCTCCACCTACTAAAAACAGTGACTTTAATTGCAGAGCCGCCGCCGGTTCTGGTATTCATTTAAGGAGCTGCGAATTTCGGTGACGGAAGACGCGTTTCTATGGTGGATGCCGCTAGAGGGGAAGCCGCGTCGGTGCTGCCCTCTAGTGTACGGATCCGTGCAGCGATGGAGACGGGGAGCGCGCGGCTCCCCTCCAAGCTAACCAAGCGCTGCTTCGTTCTAGGAGGCTGATTATAATACAGCATTTATATTCATATCTCCTCTAAAATTTATGCAGTTCCATTTCCCGGGAATGTAGCTCCCCCTCCTCTCATGCTTTCTTTTTAATTCTTTTTCTTTTAAAAATGTAATTAATCGAATGTTGCACTTAGAAGACTTTCAATGGGAATAACTGAAATCTGATAAAAGATTGTCATGCTTACGCCAGACACTGGGGATCATAAATAATAGATTCAGTTGTCCAGATGCTTCAGAAGACTTTATGGATTTGGACTACAGAAGTAATGAGACCCCGAGTGTGAGAGGAGCCCCTCAGCTTTGATGCTACGTAACAGAAACTTGAATGGTTACCGTTTGGGTGGACATGGCTGTCTGCGAAGATGCTGAGAGTGAACTATATGATTCATCAAACAAAAATCAACATATAGTATCAAGGGTGCCAGGGAGGGGGGGGAGTTAGGATGATTCCTGGGCCCTTAAAAATGTTTTTGGAACATAATTGGACTTGTCAGGGTTGGGGGCCCAAAATCTCTAGCCACGCCCCCGTATTGTACACGAATTCTAAATTAAGTCTGGTTTTTTTTTTGTTTTTTTTTAAATTAATTTAAATTTTGTTAGTCTCTTTAAAACTCCATAAAACAATGTGTATACTCTTCTGTCAGATGAAGCTTCAAAATTCTGCCTTTTTCTGCAATCTATGACAATTATAAAATTCAGATTTTGAAGATGCCCCACAGTTTGCTCTTTTCATTTGTTTCCAGTATCCAGGCTTTTTGGAAGCCAGATGCACTTTTGCCTTCTGGGAGATGAACATCTTGGACAGGAGAACCAACAGAAAGGTTTAGAATGTGGATGCAGGAGAATGAAGACGCCACTTAGTACTGGAGCAGCAGAAGATGAATCATCCACAGCTGGTGCCTGGGCCCCAGGGGATGCTGGCTCCATCATCATGGAGACATCAATAATTAAGCAGTTCTAACATCCTCAAAGCTGGGCGATGAAGAAAAAGCCCCAGGAGGCTCCACAGGCTGGTAGAACATTAGATTTCATCAGATTCTAACCGCCTTGTCACTTTGGTACTGATTGTAATCATTATCATATAAATACCAGATGTTAAATATTTATGATCAAAATATGCTGCAAGATTGTCTACTCTGGAGTATTTATGGATATTGGCAGAGACTGGATATTACCATAGGAAGACATTGAACATTCGGAAGCCTGCTGGATAAAATCTGTACCATATAGCAGTACTACTGCTAACCACTGGGTTTTATGTAATTCAGTGAAGATACTCTGTGGCTCTGTCCTCGTGCCTAAACCATCAGAACTTTTGGATGGTTTGTGCCTTTTTTCTCCATCATCTCTTGTGGCTGCAACGCAGCAGCTAAATCAACCCGGAAAGATTTTCTGTCCTCATGAAAAGCACCCAATGCGGCACAGAGCCTTGTGACTCAATGGCTCCTTCTCACAAGGAAAAATACATCAACCACAACCTGCCCTCCTTCCCCAGCTCAGTCTCCGATGGGCTGAATTAGGCTGATGAATGATAATGAGCAATACATAATTCATGAGCTTTATCAAGGGTTATAATTGGTCAGCTTTTGCCATTGATGCAAGTATGTGGGATGTGTGCATATATTTATTCAAAATCAAGAAGTCAATAAGGAATTACAAATAATGTTTCAGACACAACGGGTCATCAGCTAACAGTTAATTTATATTCACAGCATGAGAGAGACTGGGGAAGGGCACTTGGGAGTTTGTAAAAAGGGCCAATTGTGTCCTTAAGATAAAGATGTAATAGAGTAAGGAGGCCATCTTACCCATGACTTTTCATGTCCAGTCACGTAAAGGCTGTCAGCATCAAAGAGCTTCAGGCCAGTGGCGTTCCTATTATAAATGGTGGCTTTGTTCGGAATTACAAGAATAGTTAGGCTCACATCGTGATCACCCTTCTCCCTGGCTCTGAGGAAAGATCAGAAACCGCAAGAATGCCCTTGCTTCAAGCCAAAACTGCTTCCCATTGCCACGGCACAGCCCAGCCAGGCATCACCTCTGGGATCAGTGGTATTTTTAACTTTTATCTGTGTTATAAATCCTCATGGGATTATTTCTGTCCATCATTATTCTCATTAGATATTACCGAAAATAACGACTCAAAATCAGGGGGAAATGAAGTGTGAGGAAACTTTGAGATAATGCCAACAAATGAATCGAAAGCCGTTAAAGCATATCCATTCTGTGTGAAATATTTCTTTATTTAGCACATTTTGACTAAATAGCCCATTTGGGAAATTCCTAAAAGGCTCCCAGCAGGTCAAGGAATATCAGTGAGATGTAAGTGAACTAGTAACTGCTGCAGAGCGTTAGCAGAGACACTCTAATAGGAAAAGGGAGGTAGAGAGCTTAGGGACTGGGGGGTGACTGAGCCCCATTTGCTCTTCACAGTTGATAGCTTGGAGCATCAATTACTTCTAAAATGTTCACTTTGGCCCCTGCACCTCAGATTCCTCTTCATCATCTTCGTACATCTCCCCTTCCTCCTCAGCCGTGGCATCCTGGTACTGCTGGTACTCGGACACCAGGTCGTTCATGTTGCTCTCGGCCTCAGTGAACTCCATCTCATCCATGCCCTCACCAGTGTACCAGTGCAAGAAGGCCTTGCGGCGGAACATGGCGGTGAACTGCTCGGAGATGCGCTTGAAGAGCTCCTGGATGGCCGTGCTGTTGCCGATGAAGGTGGACGACATCTTGAGGCCGCGGGGTGGAATGTCGCAGACAGCCACCTTGACGTTGTTGGGGATCCACTCCACGAAGTAGCTGCTGTTCTTGCTCTGGATGGCCAGCATCTGCTCGTCCACCTCCTTCATGGACATGCGGCCACGGAAGACGGTGGCCACCGTCAGGTAGCGGCCGTGCCGCGGGTCGCAAGCCGCCATCATGTTCTTGGCGTCGAACATCTGCTGGGTGAGTTCGGGCACGGTGAGGGCGCGGTACTGCTGGCTGCCCCGGGCCGTGAGTGGGGCAAAGCCGGGCATGAAGAAGTGTAAGCGTGGGAAGGGCACCATGTTGACAGCCAGCTTGCGCAGGTCTGCGTTCAGTTGGCCGGGGAACCGGAGGGAGGTCGTCACCCCGCTCATGGTGGCCGACACCAAGTGGTTTAGGTCCCCGTAAGTGGGCGTGGCCAGCTTCAGGGTGCGGAAGCAGATGTCATACAGAGCCTCGTTGTCGATGCAGTAGGTCTCGTCTGTGTTCTCCACCAGCTGGTGGATGGACAGTGTGGCGTTATAAGGCTCCACCACGGTGTCGGAGACCTTGGGGGAGGGCACCACGCTGAAGGTGTTCATGATGCGGTCGGGGTACTCCTCACGCACTTTGCTGATCAGGAGGGTGCCCATGCCCGAGCCGGTGCCCCCGCCCAGCGAGTGTGTCAGCTGGAATCCCTGCAGACAGTCACAGTTCTCACACTCCTTCCTCACCACGTCCAGCACTGAGTCCACCAGCTCCGCCCCTTCTGTGTAGTGACCCTTGGCCCAGTTGTTTCCAGCCCCACTCTGGCCTGTAGAGATACAACAACCACATTCATGATCATATTCATTTCAGATAAACAACGGTAAAGTGCGACTGAATTCTCCTCTGAGGACAATGGCATCTTTAATACCTGTCTAATACCTGTCTAATACCTGTCTATTAAACAGGACGCCTGTTGGTATTTGATGACAAAGCTTAGACATGTCCAATTGACATAAAAGATTTTTAAGCATCTTTTGAAAGAGCTGGCGAGGTACCCAGATGCCCTGGATAAAACTGCCCACTGTGGCCCTTTCATATCTGGCCTCCTAATCATCCCCTGTATCTAACTGTTGAATTCTCTCCTGCCCCTTCATCACCTTAGCTACTGTGTGCAGAGCGTGCTGGAGCAGAATGGCTGCTGTCACAGCATCCGGGTCAGTGCTGCACAATGGTGGTGGCTTCCCATTGGTTCTGGAGGGTGCTTTGGGTGTCATGAAAAACGCTATATAAATGTAACATTCATTCATTCATCAATCTATCCATCCATTCATTTACCATTTATTTGTTCGTTCATTCATTCATTCATTCATTCATTCATTCAATTGAAGTGTCTTCCTGTTCTAGCACTGTTGCAGTAGTTTGGATCTAGTAAAAAAATAGTGGAAGTGGGATCGCCAGTCATAATACTGAATGAAGCAGTTATGCTCTTTGAAGAGTTAATCTCAGCCATAGTTACTGTGTTTGCGGTTGAAAAGCATGAAAACAGCTTCACTGCAGGATCTCAGAAGCAGCGCAGTGAAGGAGAGGCACCCCTCCAAAGATGGTTTGCTCCACCCTCAAGCCAGCCAGCCTTCAAATACTAGGGCACCTATTTCTCTTGGCATACATACATATGTAGAGCATGGGGTGGCACATCAGCCCAGTCTAAAGACATGTAGTTTGCAGCTGGAGTCTCTGATTTGCCCCTAGTGTAAACTTGTGGGTGCGAGAGTTTCTGCACTGGGTGTGCCCTGCCTTGTGCCCTGTGATGGACTGGCATCCCGTCCAGGGTGTGCCCTGCCTTGGGTCCTGTGATGGACTGGCATCCCGTCCAGGGTGTGCCCTGCCTTGTGCCCTGTGCCCTGTGCCCTGTGCCCTGCCAGACTCACCACAACCCTGCATTAGCTAAGCAGTTTTGGTAAATCAAATAATATAGATCAGTGCTGGATATACAGTGAAACCACTGACACGATATAAATGCAGGACGAAAATATTCAGAGGAAAACGTGTTTGCAAGTGAGTGCCTTTAATGTGAGTTCAGGGTCTCGGCCACAGGGGGCGCTAATGTCACAGCACAGCCTACCCAAATGTAACCCAGGGAGAGATACTTCTTGGGTGCCTGAAAGGGGCTCCC